AGCAGGAGCTGTTTTCTCCAGAGCTTGGGTTTAGGCAGGTCCTCCACATCCTGGGAAACTGCTCTTGTACCTAGACAGATGATCAGACATTTATGGGAAGCACCATCAACCTTACAAAGGGTTTTTGTTTGGGAGAGGGAGATGTTCTGTTTAATTTGTTTCTTGCCACATGAACATGAAGTTCTCCCTTTCCCTGGAAGAATCCCTGTGGAAGTTGGCACGTAGGCTGAACTCTTTGCCAAAATTACTGTTAGATTCCCAGTTCCCAGGTCACTTTTCCTTCTTGGGGCCTTACTTATGACTGGGGAATTTTTGCTGCCACGTTCCAGGCAGCAGCATCGCCCAGGCAGCTGGTAACTGGTGTTGCTGCTGCTCATCGCTGTGTCTGTAATTTCATTACGTTGTCCTCTCCCTCCTCCCTGTTGCTGGTTGCTGCCCTTATCCCAGCAGTGTTCTGGTTTTGCTGCCCCAGCTGTCAGGTGATCAGTTGCTCTTTGTTCTGACAGCGGCTTGTAACACAAATATAATCTTTTCCTACGGTTAATTGCCTCTCAGTTGGACCATTAATTAGTTCCCACCTCCAGGGGAGGAGGTGGGTACGTGTTCGTGGGTATTTCATGGAACCAGCTGGAAAAGCTGGAGGGAGACTTTGAGCAGAGAAGGGGTTAACTTGTGTCCTAAAAAAAGGTCTCTGAATTCATTGAGGCCCTGGAAGGAACCTCCAGCTTTGCAGGTGGAAGGGTGGTGATAGCAGTTAGGTTCCTGTTACTGGTTCGACAGTTCCCCTCTGGTCTGAGCGCTGTCACTGGCATGGTTAGGGGTTAATGTCATGCCAGAGGGGTGAGTCACGGAGGCCCCAGCGAGACAGATCTGGTTAGTTGTGCTGGCTCTTCATTTATCATGGGGCTCATGCAGCTGTCTCCTTGGCACGACGCGCTGGGAGCAGGCACACGCCGGCCAGACAGGTCAGGATCACTCCATCCCCCTGAGCCCCACACTCCCTCCTCATTCCTGGAAATGCTGTTTGGACAGAAGCGTATAAGCCCTGGGGAGCCACATGCCACCACTACACCCTGCCACCCAGCTCCAGCCTGGCCGTGCCCTCCCTGGAAGTGTCCCCAGAAAACACAGCTGCCAGTGCTCACAGTGGGGTCCCACCAAGGTGGTTTCCCAACCTGGTGACTGAGCAGTGGGGCAGACCTTGTGGCTCCCACCTTTCTCTTTTGCTTGGGAATGAATATCCCAGAGTCTGTGATGTGTCTAACCAAGCTGACATGTAAGACTCAGATATGCAAGTGGGGGGTAGACCTGTAGGGAATTGGTGGTGTCCGTGGCCTCGTTGGGATACAGCCCTTTCCTTCTCCCCAAGGGAATCAACCAACCCCCAGAAATAAGAGTGTTCTTCCCAGAGAAACTGCAAAGAGACTCTGAATGTAGGATGTATTTCTGCACCCCCTCTTTCCCAATCCAGAAAACCTCCCTTTAGATCAGTATCTCCCCCTGCCTGGGGAGGACAGCTTCCCAGCAGCAACCCAACCCTAGCTCCACACTGGTATGGAGACCCAACAACAAACAGCCTGGCCTGGGTGCTTGCCCAGGGTGTCTTTCCAAGGAAGCCCTTCTGGGAAGATGTTCTGGGAGCATCTCTTCCAGAAATCAAGCCCCTACCTCCCACTGTTTCTGATTTGTTTTTTTCCTGAATCCTTGGTACAGAATATTCAGAACCAGGAAAACCAGAAAGAAAACTTGGACCAGAGGTTTCCCAGCCTGTTCAAGAAGGGACGAAGGAAAACAGTTGTCAGGAATCTGGGGAAAATAGTCTATTACTCCAAGGTCAAGTTTAAGTTTCAGCACTGCCAGGTAAGCTGCTGCCCGTGTTTGTGGGCATTTCCCTTCCCAGGTGTGGAGTGACCCTGCAGGACTGGGAAGTAAAGTGTAATTCTGGGAAATGTGATTCATGGAGACTTCCTCAGGCTACTGGCTGGCCCAGGGACTTCTGCTGCCACGTAATACCTGGGTACTGGCTGGTGCTCACCAGCTCCCATCCCAACAAGGACCTGGGCCATGCTTCCATGCTCAGCTGCTGGCCTGGCAGCAGATCCAGCAGCAGAGATGCAGTGGTGGCCCTTGGATAAGTGACCACTGGCTTTTCTGTGCATAGATCAGTCTGAGATGCAGAGGGAAGCTGGGAGGAGGAAGATGTCCTGAAATAAACCCTAAAACGTGTCTTTTCTGCAGGAGGTGAATGACTGCTTCTTGGAACTGTTCCAGTCTTACCTGTACTTCCAGTCTATGGGCTCCAATGGACTCACCTACCAGGTAGGGCATCTCCTGGACATGCTGGGGCAAGCACTGGGGAGTTGGGCAGTACGGCCAAGCTGGGGGCACTGGGCAGATGGGACAGGACAGGGCAGGGGCCTCCCCTAGGTAATCTCAGCAAGTCCCTTCCCGTGGATGCCAAGCTACTGGGGGAAGAGAACATTTCTTCCTAAGATCTTTACCCAGTCAACCTCAGTGCCACTGTGGTCCTTGGTCTCATCTGTGGGTGGGACAGGGACAGGGTCTTGGGCAGGACCAGGGTGTTTAGGCTACTTGGACTTATCTTTGTGTGGAACATGAAGCACAGAGAGCTGTGCCTTGTCCAGAGTCAGAGCTACTATCACTCAAAATCCCACTGGCCTTGGTGCAACTGGTGGAGTTGACCCCAGCTTCTGAACCACGGGGGAGTTCTTCATCTGCAGGGCAGAGAAAGGGGCATGTGGGAGAGGGTGGAGAGAAAAACCTGCGGGCAGCCTTGGGGAGCTATGCTGGCAAACCATTCATCCATCTTCTAACCTGCTGAAGCTGGTGGATTACAAACAAAAGGCAATTTTGCACATGCAGCCCAAAAATGACATCCAAATAAACAGGGAGCCCTGAAACATGTCTCCCTTGACATGAGAGCATAACTAAAACTGGGCATGGCTGTTTCAGAGATGTTCATAAAATTTGTTCCTTTTAGAAAGTATTTATTTGCTTTTGGGTGACTTGAGGTTTATACAATAGACCAATACAATCTGGAGTCATCCAGCAAGCCAGCCTGCAACTGCAAAGACACATGTCAGAATAGAAACAACATTACAAAGTCTCCCATCTGCTTCATAAACAGTTCCGTAGATTATTAATTCTAGAGGAATTAAAAAGGAGTTAATGTGCCAGTACTGACCCCTAGACATTACAACAATTAGCATCTTCTACAGTCCTTGTTTAGAAAGCCCAAAACAAGGAGCACAAGCTTGTTATCTGTACCTGTGCTTCGTTATAGTGGGACTCTGCTGAACTGGAGTAGAGAAACTGGACAGCTCAGTTGTGCTTTATGGTCATTTCCATCTCCTGGCTTTCTTGTGTTAAACCAGAAATACTTTTTTTTGTGGTTTCTCTTAAAATGGAAAGACTTGGTATATAAAGAAAGGGTTCTTGCCAGCATGGCAGATGATTACAGTAG